CCTCCACAGATGCTGCCAGACCTGCTGAGCTTTTCCAGCAACTTTGTTTTTGTTCCTGATTTACAGCATCCACAGTTCTTTTGGTTTTTATAGGGGAGACCACACTGAATACAGTAGACTAACCTTTAGGACTCAATATCCAGTTCAATAATATTAAAGCCAGAACATCTCCTCCATGTCCTTTAATCATGCCCCACACCCTAAGCCCTGTCATGACATGGAGACAGAAAGGACTGCAGATGCTGGAAGCTAGAGTCAATAAATGTGGAGCTGGAAAAGCACAGCAAGTCAGACAGCATCCGGGGAGCAGGGAAGTCAATGTTTTGGGCCAAAACCCTTTGTCAGGACTGGGGAGGGGAGGGGAGCCCAGAAATAACTAGAGGTGGGGGTGGGTGACAGCAGAGACAGCTGGCTCTCGGCTGTGGTGTAAGTGAGCTGAAGCTGAGGTTAAAAGGCCTGAGTGCATATCAGAGTGCTTCAGCCCAGATCTTCAGATCAATGCAAATTCTTTTCTCCCCCGTCAACATCATCTGACCCTTAAAACCTTCCAGTCCCATGAACACCACTCAGCCCAAATCCCCTTAACAACCAAAAATCCCATTAATACCGCTTGGCCTTTTAACAAACCCAACGCCCTTAATACTCTCCAAATCCCATTAACACCCCTCAGCCTTTTAACAGCCTCTAGCCCAATTTAAACCCTGAAAGTATTAACAACCCCTAGCCCCTTTAACACTCCTACCCCATTAATATTCCTCACTCCTACCCCCTTCACACTCCTGAGCCCCTTAGCAACCACTAACTTATTAACATACCTACTTTCAGATTTTTCTTTAAGTAATTTTAATAGAATGCTGAAGCTTGAAGACAATTAGTCTACCAGCATAACTGAGCAATGAATCATGAAAAACTATCTGTGCTACACGTTCTAATCCATTCCAAGTCAGCAAAATTGTCAATTCCAAGCCCATTGTTTTATGAGAGGCTGACATTTTCAGGGAAAAATCTTAAAGAAGGCATTAAGCAAAGTATTGTGAAATATGGATTTTTTAAAATCTTTGGTTTGTTAATTTCATGGCAATTTTTAATTTCAGGATTTTTCTAGGATTGTGCTTATGTACTTTGTCTCTTGCAAAGTTTGCTTCGGTTGTAAACAAGTATACAAATATCAGTATGAAGAGAAACAGTTTTTCACTGTTAAGGTTGAAAATACATATGGTCCTGACCTGTAACGTAGTGAGAAGGATGAACATCATCAGTTCATGCCTTCAAACTTAAACTGAATCAACGTTGGGTCAGATCCGTGACTGAGGATTACAAGGATGAGCTCGTGTTGTGATATTCTTTAGACTGCTGCAATTCTTGTGCTGCCAGAACAGGGAACTATTACTGTTAAGTGCTGCATGCTACTTTAAATTCATGGAGAAGTAATCTTATTCAATGATGATCTTTCCAATTTTGGAGAAATTTTCCAGAACTTTCCTGAAGAAGATTAAACAATACCATTATGCCCAGGCCACAAGTGAAGATGACTTCAAGATGGCTCAGGCTTAATGAATTTGACCTTTTGTTTTATTTGACCTGCTTGTTTTTTTTTGCCAGTTTATTTGCCTCCCATCAGCTGATAAGATTTTATTTGAAACACATAGCCATTCCCCATTGCCAAAGTACCACTGCAGAGCATCTCTGAAAATATAAAAATGCAACCATTGTGTTCTGCACAGGCCTGAACAGT